AGCGAGGACGAGCGGCATCAGTGGCTGTGAGTGTGTGTGCGCTGCTGGCGGCTACGGTGACACTTGTCTGCCAGCTGCGGTTCCGGACGGCCTTGGGCCGCTCCCGCTCCCCGATGCGAACGACACGGAGGTTCGCTGCGTGCACGGTGGCAGCATCAGCTCCGTGGAATATACTGATCCCGGTGTGCGTGGTCTGTGCTTCGTCAACGTGACCTTCACCGCCGCGATTGTGCTGGACCTGTGGAGCTTTGACGCACCACAACATACACTCAACATCACGTTACTGCAGTGCGTCCTCGTGGGCCTGTCGATCAAGGGGAGTATTGCGCGCGTGCACGTGAACGTGACATCCTCGATGATGGATTCTGGTGAGTTGGAGTTCAGGGGTGATTTTGGCGCGAGCTCCCAGATACTGGTGGTGGGCAGTACGCTTGTGTCGACGTTGAGCTACGCTATTGCCTTTCCGGAATTCTCCCTCGGTGCGAAGTCGACGCTGCTGCTAATTGACAACCACATTGAGGGGAATAATTACGCAGTCTATATATCCGAAACTATTGTTGTTGATGGTGGCGGGATCATTGTGAAGGGAAATACGCTGTTATCAACGGCGGTTGAGGACGAAGTGCATACAGCGGTTTTTGTTGAAACTGTTGATGTGATGAAGGGCGGCTACATTGACGTGGAGAACAACACGATGAGCGCGGCTAATGGCATTTTTTTTTTTTGGGATACAAAGTTGGCCTCCGCGGGACTGCTGCGAGTGGTGGACTGCACCTTCTTTGGCAGCACGAGGGTTTCCAATTCCGTGCTGTTGTATTTGTCTGGCTCTGTGACCCTCCAGGGTGGTGCGCAGTGGCGTGTGAAGGGCAACAGCGTGAGTGCAGCCTCAATAATAACTGTGGAAGATACCTCGCAAAAAATTCGGCTGTCGGGCAGCGGCACCACCGTGGTGCTTGCACACAACCGTCAGGTGGGCTCCAGATTGCCTCTTTTCAATATTTTTTTAGCGAGCATTGTCGTGGCTTCACCCGCGCGTTTTGTGGTTGGGTGCAACCTGCAGGGCGACGAGGAGGTGTCGTACGACGGCGCGTTTCCGGTGGAAGTGGTGGTGTTCAGGTGTGGCACATGCAACGACGACGCGGCGTGCTACATGCCCGGGACGGAGTTGGTGGATCGCAGCTCGTGCTCGTGCAGCTGCAAGGAGGGATGGCATGGCGCGTCGTGTCTTCCCCTCGAGTTGCCCAACCCTGTTGTGCCGCCCGTAGCGGAGAGAGTCGTTGACGGTGACACGAGCTGCGTGGTGAACCAGACGCTGACGAAAATCACGCTGAACATGTGGAAGACGCACCACTGCTACGTGGGTGTGGCATTCAGCGGCGTGGATGCTGCGCTGACGTTTTTTCTCAACAGTATGCCGCTGCATCTCGCCATCAACATCACGCTCACTGGATGCACATTTCGTGAGGGTGCCGTGCTGCAGTTTGTTGGGGGTGCTGAGGTGGCCGAGTCAGCCGGCGTCCTTATCCGCGTGAGCCAGACGGTGATGCGGTCCTCCGTTGTTGTGTTTGCGCTTGCCCTCCCGCAACACTGCGATATCGCCGTCACGGAGGTTGACGCGCTGCAGACCTTCGAGTTCGAATTACCGGGCACTATGAGCAAGACGCTGAGCGTATTGTTGCTGCACGACGTTGTGTTGACTGCATCCTCGTTGTTGGTCGGCAACGTCAAGGCGCATGCGTTGAGGTACGGTGAGTTTGGTTTGTACTCTTTCGGGACGCTGACACTGGTGGGTGGCAGCTCGCTGTATGCGCGTTACTGCAGTCTTGATGGGTACGAACACCTGTTTTACGTGTACAGGCTCAGTGTGAGTGACCGCTCCGTTTTTGCGCTGCTCAACAATACAATGTCCTCTGCGACAAGCCTCCTGTACCAGCACCACAGATTCAGCGTGTCGGAACATAGCGTGTTGCGCGTGGTGGGGAACAGCGGTATCGTGGCCTGCGCCATCTACGCAGAAGAATTGTGGACCGTCCAGCGGTCAAGCTGGCTGGATTGGCGCGACAACGACGTGGGAGTGGGTGCGATGTTTCACGACACTGGGTCCGCTTTTGTGAGCATCGACAGCAGCAGTGTGGTGACGCTGACGGGCTGCAGGATGGGCTCGACTGGGTTGTCGAGGCCTCTGCTATCGCAGGCTGACGCCGGCTACCGGTTCTTTGCTGGGTGTCTGACGGTTCTTGGACGAGTTTTGACGACGACGGGAGAACTGGAGCTGAGCGGCATCACCAACGTGACGACGGTTGTCGTGTGCGGGGAGTGCACGAAGGACGGCGACTGCTTCGCTCCGCTGACGACAGCGGTCATTGACTGCAAGTGTCAGTGCGCTGCTGGAGGGCACGGCGATGTGTGCGTCCCGGCGCCTGTGCCTGTTGGGCCGCCACCACCGCCACCACCGCCGTCGCCACTGCTACCGCCACCGCCGCCGATTGGTGAGTGCATCAGCGACATGGTGTACCCCGAGGTTGCGCAGTCTGTGGGCAGCGGGCTGTCGTGGCTGTGCTACCGCAACGTGACGTTCAGCGGGGGCGGTATGAGCCTGACGGTGCTGATTGGTGCGATGACGGGCGACGTGGCGAACGTCACGTTCGATGGATGCACGTGGAGGGACGGTGCCGTGCTGTTGCTGTTGGGCAACGCGTACGCCGCTGTGGGGTCGCTGAACATCGTCGTCACCGGCAACACATTCAGTGACGCGCTGCTAAGCCCGGAGGGTGGGTTTCCACCGCGCACGAACATCACGATCAGCGGGAACCGCTTCACGGTCACGAGGCTGATCCCTCGGTCGGGTTTGGGCCTTAGGAAGCCTTCCTGTGTTGCAATGAATGAGCTGGCGATCAGCAACTACTCTGCGGTGGTGCTCAGTGGCAATGCGTTTCAGACCATGACGACATCGTCAAGCGCCATTCAAGTTGTCAAGTATGCGCTGAGGGTGACGTGGCACTCTGTTTTTGCGGTGTTGGGCAACACGTTTCATATGGCTGGTGGCGAGGGCACACCGATACATCTTGAAGGTTATGCCGAATCCTTGTCACTGTTTGTACTGAACAGCTCTGCTGTGGTGGTCCGAGGCAATCTTGTGTCGAGCCTGGTGCAGTACGTCATCATATTTGTTTGGGTTTTTTGTGTGGAGTCTCGGTCAGCGGTTGTTTTTCGGGACAACGACATGCAAGGAAGCTCGGCAG